GAATGGGAAATACAGATTATGTAGGAAGAAGAGCAAAAAAAGAAAAAAGCTGCTTTTCTTCCAGTTGGGACCGTCAGCAGCAGAACCACAATTAAATTACACTATACTGAAGGTCCTTTGTGTTTCTGCCTGATCAGCACAACAGGCAGCTGTCATGATTAACACTGTGAGACATGAATGCTTGAGTGCTCAGTAGAATTTTAAATAAGGACACATACAAAGTGTTCAAAAGAAAATGTTCTGTAAATGAAACAAGTTGCTGCCTGGACAGGACAAGGGGGAAAAATAACACTTAATGCTTCAATTATTTAACATTTCAAGGAGCAATGTATGTGATATAAATGCCCTTTTTTTGCATTATTTTAATTCTGTTGATAGGGTGCATACTGAAAAGAAAACAGAACTCATTTGGTGGTATATCTTCTACATTTGTCCACAAACCTTCAGTGAGTCCATCTGCTGTGCATCATAGCATTGCTAAAACACACATGCATTTACGTTCAAGTAGAAAGTAGTCCCCTTGAATCAATAGTGTTTGTTATTTATTCCTGCTGTCTTACTCTTTGTATTTTACTGCACCATTCGTAATGTTGCTGCGCTTGCACAAGGACAGTAAAGGGCTATTCTATTCTATTCTATTCTATTCTTCTCAATGGCCGCTTTTTGCAACTGCAAGTTTTGCACTGAGTGTCTGCAAAAACAGTCTTCTAAGATGAGTCCATGCCGCCCTGCAGAGTCCTTCCTTCTGCCCACCTGACTCTCACTTGGACCTTTCTCAAAGGACTCCATCGGCTGTTGTTGTGTCAACGCCCGTGAACATCTTCCGATGGCTTTCTGGCATTCGAATCGTCTCAAGTCAATCGGAGCCTCAATCGGAACTGTCACCGCAAGAGCTGCGTTTGGCTTCAGCGCTTTGCGTGGTTGCTGACCTGAAGTGTATTTGCTGTTGTTGTCGTTCACGTGCTGTCAGTCACTCAATCACCTTTGGCCTCGGGACATTTTATCTGAACAGCAGAGGTGGAAAGACAAAAGTATTCTACTCCAGTAGAAGCACTATTACTCCAACATTAACTTCCTAAGACCCGAACTCTTTCATGGCATGCATTTTTAATTTCTCTTTGCTATTTGAGCTGATTGGGACCTGATGAGTGTAAAAACTAAGAATTACCAGATTTTTTTTTTTTATACATGATTTTTGTTTTGTGGAAAAATGAGATCCACAAATGAAGACATTCATTTTAAATTTCTAGAGAACAGTGGCAGTATAATGTCCTCATAAGTGGAAATCGGGCTCTTGTAGAGCAAAATTTAGCATTTTGGTCAAGACAACCCAAAATGTGTTGTCTACATATGTGGACGTCAGGTCCTAAGAGGTTAAGAACAATCAGTGCTCTTATAAATGGGCTTCAGCAAATGAAACGGAAGTAGTTTAATTCAACTGTACTCAAAGTATTGCCTTTTTTAAACAGGAGAAGTTGTGGGGGGAGAGCATGTGAGTGTCAGATTGGTTGTTTGTGAATTTTATCAAAGGACTGGAAATTTCAGTGTAGGAACTTGGGAATACACGGCCATGCAGGACACTTGCAATACTTTGGAAGGTCATTTCAGTGCACGCAATCCCACAAAACTGGGTGTCACAAACCACACAAATGAGGCATCGACTGGATTCTGTAGAGCATCCTTCTTCTTTTTTTTCTCTTTGCTTCGGAGAGGCCTGGCCGCGGGCTTGGTCTCAGTGCAGCAGCTAATCAGGAAAGCAGTGTCAGCTGGACTCGGCCTGTTTACAGGAAGCAGACACAAAGAGACGTTGGCAGATGTCACGCACAAATATGTGCTGAACGTGTGGCAGAGTGTGGAAATTGTGACCGTTTCACACGAGTATCAAACAAATAAGTAAGCGTCGGAGGCTCAGGCACTGCTTTGCCCTCCTCATTGCCACGTCACGCTTTGACACTCAGACGTTGACGCTGAAGTCTTCGCCCGTCTCCTGTAGGATTCACTAAACAGCTCAGCATGTGTACGCTGCATTCACAGAGACCGGACTGAGATGTGACGCTGAAGTCTTCTTTGCCCGAATGGGGACTGGCTGTATTTGGGTCTGGCAATGAGCTGCCATTGAGGATTCAGTGTGAATAAAAGTTCTCGAAAAGCAGCGTGTTCAGCCAGGGGAAATGGACAAAGACCCCCACCAATCAGGTTCATCATGAGCTTGCCAGCATCTGCCTGTGGCACACGTCTGAATGCTCTCGCTGCCATCACGTCGCTGGTGCCGTTTGCGTGTGCAGGGGTTTCCAGTGGTACCAGGGCTCGCCTCCATGTTGCTGCAAAGTCACTTAAGCCGTCTGCTGGATGTCTACCCTGTGAATGCAATGTGTCCATCCCTGTGCAAATACACACACACACACACACACAAATGCAGAGGGAGCCCGCGAGACCCAACCCTATCCCATCCGTGCGCCTTACGGGCTTTCCTCCCCTTGCAGGTGAATATGGGATTGCATGGACTGAAATGACCTCCCAAAGTATCGGAATCAGCATGGCCATGTTTTCCTGAGCTCTGACTGTATTTGACTTCCTTTGACTAAAATCACCAACAACCAATCTGAAAGCTCAGTCCTCTTGTTAGCTGTCTGCCACGTTCTACTTCAATGTGCCCCAGTCTGCCGTAATTCCAAAGCCACGGTGACCTGTGAGGGAATACCTATTGTAACCACTGATCTCTCTCTCACACACTTAGACACACAGTTTGCAAAAACAACAAAAACAACAACAAAAAGCAAATGCAGAGAGTTGACGTTCTTCTGACAACAGTGGGAAGGCAGCGTAACGAACTCTGCCGCATTCATGACAAGTTAGACCAGAGAGTCAAACATCAGACCCAGGGGCCAGAACAGGCCCATCACAGATTCCAGTCTGGCCCACTGAAAACTGAGAAGGGATGCATAAATGTGGGACTTTTCACTGGATTTTTTTTTCCGTTCCACAGCTTACAGAGCTCCTCCACAGCCACGCACAGCACACTTGAGTAAAGGAGTCATGGGTCATGACTTCGTCTCTAATGTTGCGCCTGTAGTTTGTGCATTGTGAGCCGAAAGACTGGCGCTTGTGTTGTGTATAAAGAGGCAAATCACAACAACAGCTGCCTTTCTGTTGTAAAGTACAGCGATACAATTATCCACAGAAAACAGAGACAGCCCCAACAGTCATATTACACCTGTCCCTAATCACCATCACCACCACCTATGAGCGAGTGCTTTGGCGACATGTGGGAAGGGAAAAACTCCCTGTTAATAGGAAGCAAGCTCCAGCAGAAACCGGCTGAGGGAGGGGGAGCATATCCCAAACTATATGCTTTGGACTGGGGAGACAGACACCCTCTCTGCCTTTACCATCGTGCCTAAAACTTGTCTTTTTTGACAAACTGGAAGCTGGCCCCACAGAAGAGGGGCCTGTAGGCTCTGCCTCCTTTCTACTTTTACATACATGTGTGACATTTGCAACATGATATTTGAGATAGTCATTCCAGATCATCTGACAATGTGGGACAGCCTCTAAACTGATTAAAATATATAAGTCAATCATTTATTTGGCCATTTAATAAAAGTATGCTTTAAATATGTGCTTTGAAATTATGTTTCTTTTTTAAATTTAATAAGTTAATTTCAGTAGTGACTTACTTCAAATCAGTTATGTTTAGAACATTAATACAATTATGGGAACGATACATTAAGGAGGTTGATTCTTCTTAAGATACTCAAACATTTTTGTTAAGCCCCCTGCACGTGCATTTTTGCACACACCTAACATTCAATGTGCATGTGCAGAGTTTGAGATTTAAAAAGCTGTTTGTTTTATCAGGAGTTCTGCTTAAAAGAAGAAAAATTGTACATGATTTAAATATGGCCAAACTCCCATTCAAGTATTTGAAAGGAAAGTATGTCAAACTTGTACAGACTTCAGTGTCAAGCTGATGTGAACTTCATACTGAGGATTTTTACTGGTCATGAGAGCCGGATCTCCAAACCACAGACCAAACGACTGTTTTCAGTGGAATTGCCCACAGTGTCCAAGCCAAAAGGCTGGGAGCATTCTGCTTATTTTCTAACGCTCATTGTGCACCATAAATCTGTCACCCAGGCTAACGTATGCAATACAGAGTTCTGCTCCTGAAGGAAAAGTGTTGGCAGATAAGGTCTGAACTGTAGTTCATGCCATTGTGCACCCACCTACTTTATTTGGCGTACACAAACACAACCTTTGACCTTCACACACCTTACTTACTAGTCTTGCTGTAACTCCAGCTTCTTCCCTGAGATGACATGCAGGTTGTTGTTTTGGCACGGTGGAGATCAATTATACGTCAAAGATAAGCAAAGGCAAGACTTGCATGGGGAGCTAAACATAACAGCCGTACTGGTTTAATGGTTTTTAATCTTGAACATTTGAGCCTCTGAAAATTGTTCCAACTAAAGCAGGAGCAGTGCACCTGGTATATCAAGGTCAGTGTTCAAGGTCAATATGTATAGGCATACATTAACCAAACCTACACAAAAAACTGTACCTTGTGCTTGTCCAATAGAATTTTAAAGCCTACATTACATTTCAATGTAAGACAATCAGTTGTTTTTTTTTATCACAGGCAGGCACGCAGGCATTAAAAGCGGACTGTTTTAAGGCTTCAAGTACTGCTGGAGGGGACCAAGGATTAAAACTACATAGTTGTACTAGCACATGTTGCTCTTCAGTGTATTGTCAAATATATTTCAGTGTCATTTTATGTTATTTTTTATTTTTTATTTACTAAATGGCATTGTAGAAGGTAAAGTCACTCCACTTTTCATTTTGATTAAGGCATTTTTTGTCTGTTTTGGGCTTTACAAGCTGCTGTCATGCAAATACGGGGCTTCATGTAAACATATGCTGCAGATGTGTAACGCTAAGGGTTTGTTCAGCACTATAAACACGTGCAAAGCCTGTTATTTCCATCAGAACCCTCCGTGTAACTGCGCGGGTCTCGGTCCATTTGCGTCGCCAGTGCGGTGCAGCTTTAACCGGTCCGTCATGCCTTGCGGTGTCCTAGTTCTGTTCCGATCGTGATTTACACGTGAGATCTCTTTCACTGATAGCAAGCCTACAAGCCCCCTTGTAGGATGTCCGATGACTGGACGGACTCGTGTTTACATCCACTCGGTTTCTAGAAGAGGCGGGGATGCGCGCACACCGTTAACTGTGATGCAGGCGCCGATCGGCACAGAATAAACAGGGATCTCCCTCAAGTGGCCCGCATACCATGACGAAGAAAGTACTGGATTTTATCCCAGAGAGATATTCGGTGGCTACAGAACAACGGGAGAGTTCCTAATCGTCTAAGACACAGTGAGCTGCGGCTGGAAAGAGGTATGTTGTCGTGTTTGTTACACTGGATTGAACGCAGTGAATGCGTCAGTCACGCCAACATTTAAAAGCTGCTGTCCTTTAGACAAGCTTGTAGACTGTTATGGGCTAATAAGTTCACTGTTGGCAGTTTTGTGTTAAAGCCTGTGAGGAGGACAAACGCAGAAGAGAGACTAAAATGACCGATCAACTGCAGTTGCGTAACTTTATTTGACAGATTTATTCACGCCCTTCTCGTCCTCCCTTTCAAAGAAATCTAACCCACATCCTCGGTCAGTGTTCCTGACACAAAATACCAGATCCATGAGCCATCCAGGAAGTGAGTTAGTGGTCAGTGCGTGAGTGGGATCTGTCTGCTGAGCCCTGCAATGCAATTTATAGAGTTGGGCTGTAAGCGCGCACTCAGCAGTGGTTTTTTAATCAAGTTCCTTCAACTGAGTCATGCAGCTACAGCACACAGGAAGAAGTCCTTGAAGCACACGTGTGGCGGACGCAAGGGTAAACTGTTTGTAGTAGGAATACTTTGCTCTGAGAAGTATACTCTGCTACTAAACTGTTGTTTCCTGATATATTGGTAACGGTTAAACCTTTTGAGAAACTGTTACAGATATCTTCATTATCAGTGAATCTTGAGCCTTTTTCAGTGTGTCAGTAATTATTATTATTTTTAAAAATTCCTGTCATTATTTCTAAAAAGTAGTGCCATATTGCAAATTTAGGTATGATCAGATTCCGAGTATTTATACTGATACAATACTTTTAGCCTATAAAGGCAGCTTATATAGGGAAGAGTAGTGGTTCGTGATTTATAAGATCAATCATCATCAGTTTACAAAATGAATACATTTTAATGATTACTAAATGACTGTGGCTTTTACTTTCCACTATACTTAGTTAACAAAACACACCTTTCAGCTTTTCATGTATTTTGAAACAGTTTTTTCTTTTCTTTTTTGAAGACCTGCAATGTAAACAGTATAGATCCAATACCAATACCAGCATTGGTATGGATACTTTCAATATTTGGATCAATCTGCCCACATCTACTTAAAAGCTACAATTTTGTCCACGGATTCAGTTTACCATCATAAGACAAAGAGATCCTGACCAAAAACAAATCTCCCCGTTCACACAAGTTCCCATGCCAGCTAAGCACCAATATTTTTGCATTATTGGTATTCATTCACACTGTGTCTGCATTTGCCTGAGATGTCAGAACCATGCTACCCAAGTGGGAAGACTCGTAACAGACTTTGCAGTGTAAATCCAGTCCAGTTTATCTTTCAGCAGACTCCCCCTCCCAGCACCTTGCGGTCAGTTAAGCTGCAGGTCTTACCGGGTTAAAGGCTTATTGTCTTCAGCAAGCTGATTAGTTTTAACTTTTGAAACTGCAAGAGGGCACTTTGGTCACTCTGCTTCAACATAGTGATTTTTTTTTCCCTGTAACAGTAAAAAATAATAACATCCAGTGATACAGCTGAAGTGTGAATGTGAGTACACTGCTTTGTTACCCATGACACCAGCAGTTGTGACAAAAACCTGCAGCTGCCTTTAAATTGTTACCCACAAAGGACTGCATGTTGCATTCATGTGAATACCACTGCTTGCTTAATAACAGGGAACTCTTACACTGTTTATGACACAATAGATGATTGATAGTATCTGATTGCAAAGCTGTTCTCAAGCTTTTCACTCAGCTTATGCAAGCTTTTGCTGAATATGCAGCCATCTCACTGTCTTCAGCTGACAAAATTGATGTGGAGGTAATCTCCACATCAAGCCTCCTGTGCAGCATTAAGCTGCACAGGAGGCTAGAAGGTGGAGGTTTCATTTATAGATTGCAATATGCATCATCAGTTTTATGAGGACCGCTGTGTTCTCATGGACTCTTAAAAGCATTACATTATATTAGTATATAAGTAAAGAGAAACAGGCAGGGGGAGTGGGAAATTGGTGTATAATATGAAGGCTGTGTGCCAACTTAAAAGCAGAGTCATGAGTTTATTGCTGTATTGAAGGGCCTGTGAACCTCCAGGATGTTCCATCAAGAACAGTGACATCTTGTGTGAGCACAGAGGTCGAAATGTAATTTCATTTAGGGTTTATATTTGGATTACCTGCTGACGTTAGCATTTTAGCCTTCCTGTTGTTCAAAGCGAGAAGATCTTGGGTTTGAATATGGTTGGCTGGTACATTTCTTGCATGAAGTTTGCATGTTCTACCCCGTGATTACGTGGGTTTTCTCCAACAATCCAAAGACATGCACATTAGCTTAATTGTTCATTCTAAATTGCTAAATTGGATGCAAATGTGGGTCACTGTATGACAGCTGCAGGCTTTAGTCTTTACAACTGTGGCAAGATATTAGTAGGGAAGTTTTAGGTGCCAGAGGGTTGATCATCTGAACATTAGTAACCTTCTGACGTTGAGCTTTGAATGAGCTAACTAACACAGCTAAAATCTGAGCTAAAGCTATGTGTCTGTGAGCTACTATTGTAGTCTCACAACTAGTTTGGGAGTCATTGTGGATCATTTTAGGCAGCTTACACAATTGTGAAGTAAAAACTCTCAGCAGAAGATTTCTTTTATCCAGTGATTTTAGCAAGCTCAGAGAGCCTGGACATTTTTATTAGGAGTAAGTTTTTAAATTGTATGCAGGCCATTGACCTCTTAACATAGAGGATAGAGTTTATCTGTTTGGCATGACCACTCCAGCTAAAACTAGACAATATCCACCATAAGGCCAACTCTGAGGTGTTCCAGCAAAACTCCACTACATCTCCAACAAGAACCCCGACTGCAGAGCACACCTCCATGTTTTCTCGCAGCCCACATTCATGGGAAACAAAGAGGAAGTGACAGGAAAGCACGGACTGCTTCTTAATTGTTGCCGATTGTGTGGTCTACTTTCCCAGACCGTACCCTCCAATCACTCCGGTCAGCTGTGTAAGGTCGGGACAAAGCCTGAGCTGCGTCACCATGGTGAGGGATTGTTTGCATCCAGTCATGCTGCTGGCCATGTGGACTCACGCATGCACATTACAGCGTGCTCTTTTGTTTGTGCGCCACTTGTTGTTTTTCAGTGGATCCCCTCCAGCTTCCACAACCTCCTTGTTGCGTATAAAAAAAATTGGCATCGTCTGTTTTTTGAACTGCTATAAGTCTCATCTACTGAGTGCCATGTCTCCATTAGTAATTCGATTTTTGACTGACAGTCGTGTTTTTAAAAAAAAATATGATCGAGTTTTGATTTTTCAAAGCAAATGTGTCGGTTTAATCAGATGTTTGAGGGTACACACAGCAACAAGATTGGCATTGAGTCTATTAAACTGTAATTTAGCAAGAGGCTGAGATGGCACAGAGCTGACCAAGGCAGGAAATGAACTATTAACTATTAACTATTATCGAGACTGAAGAAGTCACTTGGATGAGTGACGAAACGTTTCTCCCACAAAACGCTACGTCCAGATGAACAGAATCAACTTTTGGAGATTAACTATTAGGTTTGTATATTGGATTTAAATTCCACCTTTAAGTCTGTGTGAAATGAAAAGCTTTTAGTTAACATTTCTCAGTCTGTTCCTTCAATGCTCATCCACGGCTTATTAAAGGAGCTTTTAGCTTCATTTTTGTGCTGATCCCTCTAATGAGCTGCTATCCATGTTTGAGGAAATATAAATAAGAAGCCTGGACTTCTCGCGCTGCGTCCCCTCCCTAACTCTGCCTTCCTCTGGCATCCTGAGAATGAAACTTCAGGGGAGGTAGACTGGAGTCATAACTAAGTTTAGCTCAACGGTTCACAGCCCAGACAACACAATATTTTTCATGTCTGAAACCAAATGGCTGTGGCAGAAGTTGTCTGACAGCAAGGATTTGTACTGATAGCTGCAGCCTTTCCTTCCCACAGCAGTCGTTTTCAATCTTTTCAAGCATTTCCTGAGATTATGACTAGCATGAGTGTAACATCTCCTATATCGAGCATGTTCTGTCTTCGTGGTTCGATCTCCCTTCGGATCATTTTGTTGTTTATATCTGTTTATTCTGTCTCTTATGCAACGTGTTTTTCTGCTCGTTGAAGGAAAATATACATGAATGCAAACACAGCAAACTCCAGTAATACAACTGTTTAAGATGAAAAAAAAACATTAGAAACTCTAACAATAAGTAGAAAGCATATTATATGTAGCATCAGAAATAGATCTAAAGAAAAGCACAGTTATTTCAGTGTTTAGTCATAAAACAGGTCAAATAAATAAATTCCATGGTAGTTAAACGCTAAATCAATTTGCCAAGAATGCATAAAAAAAAGAAAGAAACCATATTTTGGATTTCTCTGAGCCAACAGTAGAAAACCGCGTGTTAATGTGATCAGCCACAACTCTAACAGTATACAGACACAGTTTTTCAGTTCTAAGGTTTTACATACCGGGACATCCTTACAAATAAATAAATGCAGACCGAGGACACGCTGGAGAGATTATATCTCTTGGCTGGACTGGGAATGCCTTCATGTTCCCCCGGACAAGCTGGAGGAGGTGGCTGAGAAGATGGAGGTCTGGGCTTCTGTGCTTAGGCTCTGCCCCCGCGACCCCAGCCCCAGCCCCGGATAAGCGGAAGAAGATGGATGGATGGAATAAATGCATGACGAGTGTGTGGAAGAACTAAGTACACACCGTCATTCAGTAGCTTGTGGAAGCAGGTTTAGCACTAACTTGAAGTAATTGTTTCCTGATTCACGTTATCAGTCGCTCACATCATTGTGGAGGATTTTTGCTCCACTCTACTTTACAACAGTGACTAATGCACGAATCTCTTAAGGTCCATTTCAATAAGTCTCAGATCTGGGCATTGCAACACCTTGATTCCTTCTTAGCTATGCTGTTGTAGATTTGCTGCTGTGCTGTCGCCCAGATGGCCTCACATTAGACCCTTGAATACTTTGGCATTCATGGTCAACTCAATGACTGCAAGGTGCCCAGGCCCTGTGGCTGCAAAACACACCC